CAGAAGCGGGAATGAATATGGCCTATTGGAGGAGTGGAAGTCTTTTTTTTTTTTTTTCATTATGGTTAATTACAAGACATTGAGTATAGTTCCTGTGCTACACAGTAGGACCTTGTTGTTTATCTGTTTTATATATAGTGGTATATATCAGCTGATCCCAATCTCCCAATTTATCCCTCCCCACCCGGACCTTTCCCCTGTGGTAACCATAAGTCTGTTCTCTATGTCTGTGAGTCTGTTTCTGTTTTGTAGGTAAGTTCATTTGTACCATCTTTTAGAGTCCATGTAAGGGCTATCTTACGGTATTTGTCTTTCTCTGACTTACTTCACTTAGTATGATAATTCTAGTTGCATCCATGTTGCTGCAAGTGATAATGTTTCATGCTTTTTTATGGCTAATATTCCATTGTATATATGTACCACATCTTCTTTATCCATTCATCTGTTGATGGACATTTAGGTTGTTTCCATGTCTTGGCTATTGTAAATAGTGCTGCTATGAACATAAGGGTGCATGTATCTTTTCGAATTATAGTTTTATCCAGATATATGCCCAGGAATGGGATTGCTGGATCATATGGCAACTCTATTTTTAGTTTTTTAAGGAGCCTCCATGCTGTTCTCCATAGTGGCTGCACCAATTTACATTCCCTTCAACAGTGTAGGGGGGTTCCCTTTCCTCCACACCCTCTCCAGCATTTACTGTTTGTAGACTTTTTGATGATGCCCATCCTGACCAGTGTGAGGTGGTACCTCACTGCAGTTTTGATTTACATTTCTCTAATAATTAGCGACCCTGAGCATCTCTTTACATGCCTGTGGACCATCTTAAATGTCTTCTTTGGAGAAATGTCTGTTTAGGTCTTCTGCCCATTTTTTGATGAGATTGTTTTGTTGTTGAGGAGTGGAAGTCTTGAGTGGCTGGAGGGAGCTGAAGAGTCAGCAAGGACTCAATTGGTCATGAGTTTGGGTTTCTCCTAAATGTGATAGGAAGCCATTCAGAGTCATGAGCAGAAATAAGACCTTATTCTGCAACCTTAGTTCATTCATTCTTCACCCCCGAAAGGGATTTCAGAGGTCTAAGAAGTTTGAAAAGCCCTGTGCCCTCTTGGCATTTCAAGATCTAAATTAGCCCCTTAAAGGCTCTGAGAAGTCCTGTAGAAAAGTGATTTACCCTTTTTTTTTTTTTTTAAGCCCAGTGTTAGCCATACTCTTCCAGTCATCAGAACCTCTTTTTAACAGAACTGCTCTTAAAAACACCTGTTTGGCAAATGCAACTCCAGCCCCAAAAGGCAGGTATTAAAATTGCAAAGGCAGTAATGGTAAATGATTCTCATTTGCCCCTTCCGTGCCCAGGCCAGACATCACCAATCCATCACAGCACTGAGTCCCTCTCAACACAGTTCCAGGCAGCCATTACCAATGCACTGGAATTGACTTAGGAAATGAAACCTATGAGCAATTCCAGTCCCAAGGCCAAAAAGAAGATCCTGGATTTACAGAGGCCTCACAGAAGGCTTCAGAAGGGATTGCCCAAGGGCACAGCTCTGGACTTGGGGGTGGCTCTGAATGTTGATTGTCACCTTTATCTTGTGGCTTTGGGCAAGTAACTTCTGTTGAGCCTCAGTTTCTCATCAATAAAATGGGGATCGTAATGGTACTTGTCTTAGTTCGAGGTCTTCCAGAAGCAGGGATGGGGGGGCAAGTGGTTTTGGGGGGAAGTAGTAAGACAGGGAAGGGAAGGCAACCAAAAAGTATCATATGCTTTAGTATTAGTTTCCTAGGGCTGCCCTCACAAAATACCACAAGCTGGGGGACTTAAAACAACAGAAATTTATTCTCACAGTTCTGGAGGTTAGAAGTCCAAAATCAAGGTGTCAACAGGGCCATGCTTCCTCTGAAGTCTGTAGCGGGTATATCCTTCCTTGCTTCTTCCCAGCTTCTGGTCTTTGCCAGCAGTCCTTGGCGTTCCTTGGCTTGTGGATGCATCACTGCAGTCTCTGCCTCTGTTGCCATGACTGTCTTCTCCCCTATGGGTCCTTTTTCTTCTCCTCTTCTTCTATAGACACCAATCATATTGGGTTAAGGGCCCACCCTACTCCAGTATGACCTCATCTTAATTCATTATGTCTGCAAAGACCCTATTTCCAAATAAGGTCATATTCTAAGGTTAAGACCCCAACACATCTTTTTTTTTTTTTTTTTTTTTTTTTTGGTGGGGGATTCATTTAAACCCATAACAGTGCATTATCAAGCAAGATACCGCAGCCGACAGGTGGAGCTCAATCCTGGTGGGCACCTCCGGGAGAAAGTGTAGAACATACCCCCATCAGAGGGGCAAGGGAGCTGGGGTATTGATACACCAAGTCAGTCATCATCTGAAGGTTGCTTCTGGGGGTGCTAATTTCCCAGCACTGCCCACCTGTTCCTGTGTGCTCAGAGCAGCCTTGCGTGGGACCAGATAAAATCCTCAGGCTGAGCCATGGATGTTTGGCCACTGGAGTCGGCAGGTTTGAGCTGAAGTGGTAAGGGATAAGGGGCGGGGTGGCCACCTTGGAGACTATGAGTTTCCAATGGCTGCTGTAACAAATGAGCACAAAATGTGGTTTAAAACACCACAAACTTATTATCTCACAGTTATGGAGGTCAGAAATCCAAAATGCATCTTACTGGGCTAAAATCAAGGTGTCAGCAGGCTGCTTTCCTTTTGGAGGCCCTATGGGAGAATCTGTTTCCTTACATTTTCCAGTTTCTAGCGGTGCCCATGTTCCTTGGCTAATGGCCCCTTCTCTATCTTCAAGGCCAAGAGCATAACATCTCCCCGCCCCCAGAGATCTCTCTCTCTCTCTGTCTCTCTCTGATCTCTGTTTCTGTCATCACATCTCCTTCTCTGACTCTTACAAGGAGACTTGTGATGACATTGGACCCCCCTGGATATCCTGGGATAATCTCCCATCTCCAGATCCTTAATCCCATCTGCAAAGTCCCTTTTGCCACGGAAGGTACCATATTCACAGATTCCAGGGATTAAGGCAGGAACAGTAGGGGGCGCTGTTATTCCACATACCAAAGAGGGTTTAGGAGAAGTTTGAGTGAGAGCATGCAGGTAAAATGCTTGGCTAACACCAGCCATCACGGGATACAGAAGCCAGCCAGCAGGACCGCTGAAGCCAGGGTCCTGGTGTCACCCACCTCCAACCCACGCTGCTCCCTTTTCCACCCCTGCCAGACCCTGAAGAACCGGTGGCTCCAGCAGTACAGCCACGACTCGGCCGACCCGGGCATCCTCGTGCTCCTGGCCTGCGGCACCATTTCCAGCACGTGTGGCCAGATAGCCAGTTACCCCCTGGCCCTGGTCCGGACCCGCATGCAGGCCCAAGGTGAGGCCTGGGTGGGAGGAGGAGGTAGGGAAGGTCTCACGACTTGGGTCTACCTTCCCATCCCCAGCTCCTCCCCGTGAGAAGGCAGGGTCCTGGGCTGGGATCCTCCTGGATTTTGATGGCCTTGACTAAAGTCCCTACTTTTCTCTGGGCCTCAGTTTACCCTCTTGTGACACTGGGGTGGGAGCCCGTTACCCTAAGTAGGAGAACAGATACAGCCAGTGCCGGAAGAGCATCCCAACCATCTCAGCTGGGAGGCAGCTTTCCGGGCTGGTAACTTGGGTTCTAATTTGCAAGGCTGGGATATAGTGAGGTCAAAAGGAGGAGCAGGGCCAGGCTACCATTGTTTTACTGTATTTCTCTGTATTGCTCTTTTGAGGTTCTTTTTTCTTTTCTTTTCCCGCTACTATCCCTGAATCTTTTTTGAGAATTTCTTCAGGGATTTTAGCATTTGTGTTTTGTGGTTTTTGCCGGGGGTCATCCGTGCATAAGACAGATGTGGTCCTCCACCCTCAAAGAGCTCCCAAGCTGGAGAGGAAGGAAGATGGTGAATAAATCATTCCACAGTGAAGTATGGATTTAGGGTTGAATAAAGGGGAGAAGGAAAAGCTGGACTTAGACTGGGGTGCCAAGGAGGGCTCCCCTGAAGAGCTGGTTTGGAATGGAGGTTGGAAGGTTGAGTAAGAGTTAGCTGGGAAAAGGGAGAAGGAATTGAGTTCCAGGAAGAGGAATTTCTGTGCCCTCTTCCACCTCCCCCTCCACACATAGCTGCTCTGTTTCTAGTCATCCCCAAACTTGGGGCCTCCAGATTGGGGTGAAGAGATGAGCAGCCAATTCCAAGGCCAGTAGAAGTCCCAACTCTGAGTGGTAGGTCCCCGTCCCTCCCTCCTGCTGCAGTAGCCACCTGGCCCAGCCCTGAGGGGGAGTGGGGGGGAGTGGGAAGCGAGAGGGGAACCTTTGGCCTTACCTGGCCTCCCCACCCCCTACCAGCCTCCATCGAGGGAGCCCCCCAGTTGTCCATGCTGGGTCTGCTCCGTCACATCCTGTCCCAGGAGGGTGTGCGGGGCCTCTACCGGGGCATTGCCCCCAACTTCATGAAGGTTATCCCAGCCGTGAGCATCTCCTACGTGGTCTACGAGAACATGAAGCAGGCCCTGGGGGTCACGTCCAGGTGAGGGACCCAGAGCCCACCCCTCCCCCAGATCCCTCACCTCCATCGTGACATCCCCCACACCTCGGCCACTGGAGACCGAGGGCCCAGCCAGTGGATCCCAGGTCCCCCCCCCCAACGCATTCAGACCACAGGATCCCCACACTTCATCAACTGGGTCCTGCATCCCCACATCCCAGCCACTGGATCCCACGTTTCCCTCTCCCACAACACGTACTGAGTCCTGGACCTCCACGTCGTAACCACTGGATCCCCCGCAACCCAGCTAATGGATCCTGATACCCCGACCACAGCAGCACATACCATGTATCTAAACCCCCAGACCCCAGCTGCCTCAGGCACCAGATCCAGTGTCCTCAGGCAGTACTAGATCCTAGATCCACACTGGCAGATCCTAGATCCCCATGCTTCAAGTCCTGGATCTCCAAGCTCGGCCACTGGATTCTGGATATCAAGAAACCTCAGCGCACCGGATCCTGACAGTGCAATGCCTAGGTCCCGGGGCCCCAACCACTGGATCTCAGACCCCCTCCCTCCAGCCACTGGATTCCTGAATCCCTTTACCTCGACACTGGGTCCTGGATCCCTCTGCTTCGACTCCCGGATCCCCACATTTCAACCATTATACCCTCAACCACCGGATCCCAGATTTCCAAGCCCCGACCCAACAGATCCTCACTCTTCAAACCACGAGAGAGCCCAATGGCAGAGGAGTAGGTGCTGGCGACTGCAGCTGTTGGACCCCAAATCCCTTCACTGCAGGCACTGGGTACTAAAACCTCATCCATAAGAGGCAGACCCTACCACCTCCAGGCACTGGATGCCAACCCCTTAACCCCTGGTTTCTGACCCAAGTCCTCCCAAGCACTAGATCCTGAACGCTCAGACCCCCCAGTCTAGCTCCCAATAGGCCAATCAGTATCCTGGATCCCACGCGCCCCCGTCCCAGACACACACCAGAGCCCGGAGACCTCCCCCGATGGCACAAACCCCATAGTCTACGGAGCCTCCAGGAAACCCAGGTCCTGGCCTCCCAGCTTGAAAACCCACGGGACTTGTCCACTGTCCTGACATGTCTCATGCCGGCCGCAAGGAGAGGAGATGCCTCTCGCCGGCCCTGCACAGACACTGGACCCCCTACCTCCCCAGCAAAGCCTGGACTGTAGGGAAACTTCTCTCTCAAATACTCCCCCAGCAGGGCCATATCTCACACCCCCTTCCCACTGTCTAGGCTGATAACAACCCCCAGAGCCTGGGTCCCTCTGGAGGATCCAGTCGCTCTTTCTTAGGGGCTGGCAAGGAGGCAATCCAAGGCTGGGGACACATTAAGGGGACCGCACACATCCCCCAGCACTGCCAGCCCCTCCCCAGACTTCAGAGTTGGAAGCCAGAAGCAGTTTCCCTAAACCCAAGCATCCAAGGATGCAAAACAAACCCCAAACTCCCCAGTCCCCCAAATTCATTCCAGGTCTATTTTTCTACCAGAGAGGAGCAGACATCCCATCCGCCCTAATTCCCAGTATCCCCACCCTGTATATTCTGCACTTTATATTTGGATTCTGAGCTTAGGCTTATTGGGGGACCCCTTTCTCCATTCCTTCCAAGTTCTTGGGGAACCCCATTAAAGGACTGTAGAAGAAGAACTGGGATTTGGGGGGACAGGACGACCCCCCCAATGCTTCCACCTCCCCCACCTACACCACTCCCCACCTCCCTGCCTGTGTGTGTGATTTCAAAGGAAAAGAACAAAGGAATACATTTTCTAAGCTCTATCATTGTGGTTTTTACTGAAAGGGGGTGGGTGGATGTGGGACCACCTCATACCACCCACAGGGAAGGGACATGGGCCGACTTCCATCATACATTGTTGCGGGAGACCAGGAAATGACTCCGTGAGCCTCAGTTTCCACATCTGTAAAGTGGGTGTGGGGGAAGGTCCAAATTCAAGAGCACTCCTAATTTTTCCTGTATTTTTTGTAATTACACAAGTGTGTCCTTTTCCTTGGGCTGCTTAAAAAGTTACCACAAACATGGGGCTTAAAGCAACAAAATTTTTAAAAATATTTTTCTATTGTGGTAAAATACACGTTACATAAGATTTACCATTTTAACCAATTTTAAGTGTACAGTTTTGTGGCATTAAGTCTATTCACATTGTGGTGCAACCATCCCCACCATCCACCTCCAGGACTTCCTCATCTCCCCAAACTGAAACTCTGCCCCATTAAACACTGACTCCCCATCCCCTCCCCCAGCCCCTGGCCTCCACCATCTACCTGCTGTCGCTATGGATGTGACTCCTCAAGGGACCCCTTAGAACTGGAATCATGCAGTATTTGCCCTTTTGTGTCTGGTTTATTTCACTGAGCATCATGTCCCCAAGTTTCCTCCATGTTGTAGCAGGTGTCAGAATCTCCTTCATTTTTAAGGCTGAATAATATTCTATTTTATGGAGGGACCGTATTTTGTTTATCCATTCATCCGCTGATGGACACTGGGGTTGTTTCCACCTTTTGGCTATCATAAATAAAAGACAACAGAAATTTATTCTCTAACAGTTATGGGGGGTTGAAGTCAAAACCCAAGGTGTTGGCAGGGCCATTTTCCCTCTGAAGACTCCAGGCAAGGATCTGTCCGTGCCTGTTCCTAGCTTCTGGTGGCTGCCCGCACCCCTTGGTGTTCTTGGATGTTAGACCCATCACTCCAATTTCTGCCTGTCTTCACGTGATCAGACTTTTTCCTATGTGGACTGTGAGAGTCATTCTCTAAGATGTCCCCCTATGATCTTTGACTCTTGGTGTTCACATTCTTGTGTAATCTCCTCTGTCGTTGTACCAAGGCAGGTCTGTATGACCAAGGGAATACAGCAGAAGTGATGGTATATTACTTCCAAAATTAGGTTATAAAAGACATTGAGGGCTTCCCTGGTGGCGCAGTGGTTGAGAGTCTGCCTGCCGATGCAGGGCACAGGGGTTCGTGCCCTGGTCTGGGAAGATCCCACATGCTGCGGAGTGGCTAGGCCCGTGAGCCATGGCTGCTGAGCCTGCGCATCCGGAGCCTGCGCTCCA